CTAGAATCGTTGGCTATGGTGACACTTGAGAAGGAAGCCGAAGGAGGAAGTTTAGGGTTGAAAGTCGATGTAGGAGGAATAATAGGAATTGAAGAGGAAGGTTGATTATGAATACAATGGTCTTGGGTGCTGTTAGAGGTATGAGGGCGGTTATCCCTTCCCGGTTGCCCACACCGTGGAAGGGTTCTTCTGGAGGTACTTGAAAAGGAAATTGGATTAGAGGCGGTCTCAGTGACCTGAGAGCGTGACCGCAGTGCCCAAGGGACAACTGCTTGAGGCCGGTCGCGCACGGCCTTTTTGTGGAAGGTTTTTGACGTGTTAGCTCCGTTCTTCAAAGGGCCTTACGCCGGAGACGGAAATCCGTGAGGTAAGGTGAGGTGCGCATTTTTAGGGTCGACCTTTTCTAACCCCACGCCTCGATGTGGGAAGGCAGCATCGCTGTTATGCTGGTTGTCCGAGGGAAACACCTTACAGCTGTCACACCTCTGTACAGTCAGCAGTACGACTTCGCCTTCGGACCTTGGGTTTGTTGCTTTTAGTCTTACCGCTCTTCAACCGACCTGTCTGACATGGTAGGACCTTGAGGAACGGTTGTTCCAGCCAGTATAGCTCGGTTGCTTCATCACGATAGGCAAGCCCGACCACCACGTCAAGGTAGCAACAACGGTCGGGAATTAATTGAAAGTATTTATTCTTATTCTACCTATCATTCTCTTACTTACATACACTATTAATTAGAATGGCGATAAATATAAACTCACGCAATTCTACTCAAAAATTGTGTAACCAACTTACGACTTTTGTTTTCATAATATATTATCTAAGTATAAAAATGTTCTATGTTGTCCTGACTACTGTTGAAATTGATTTCGACAAATTAGACCAAATAAATTCTTCCTTACAATCAAGATTATCTTATTGTTTTTATTATTACTATAGAACATGGTAACTAAATCTCTGTCAGTTCTCTCTAGTATCTATGATAAAAGTGGTCAATGTACAATATTCCTATTAGTAGGTTGAAGCTTAAAGTCCACAAGAAATCAATAGACTAGTTGTTTTGACAAATATCCATAGAGTAATTTGAATGTTCATCATTATTATTTTACACTGATGCATTACATGTTAAATAACTTTAGTTAAAAGTTCTATATTATGATGAAATATTGATCTTATGAAAGTTGTGTTTCATTTGTTCAACTTAAGAACAGATTTTTCCCATGTACATTCAAAATTTTCCCACGCCTAGTATGAGGTATTAACTGTTATATTGGGAATAGTTAGAAATATGTTATACAATTATACTATAGAACAAGTTATTAATAAAGTACCCTTTAACTTATAAAAAGTTGTTAGTTCCATCCTTCATCTAGAACAAAAGATCTAATACAACTACGTACTGATACAAGTTACTAATCTCCATATCTATATTATTGCTAATTTGACTTAAAATGATTGAAAACCACGTAGTTCTATCACTTAGTTTTCATTTCAATTGTTGGCAGTTATTGTGAACTTAGCTTTTATTTAGGTTATCTTATGTTGGTAAATAATCTAAGAGATATTCTTCTTTTAATCATATAGATAGGCGCTTTCAACGCTACAGAACATTTTACACGAAATGAAGTTTGTTCATATTTAGCCTATATTTTATAATAATAGTAAAAATAGACTGATGAATTACAGTTGTAAACATAATGGGACGATTTAGAGAGCAACTAACATAAAGGAATTAGATTTCTCCCCATTGCAAAAGTCAGTTGGCTATCTGAACTGATTAGCTAAGTAGACAACGTGATGGTGTTTGAAGCGAATGGTTCTAATCTCGGGGTGAACATTAACTGTGGGATGCAGGTAAATCTAGTTGGTGAGTCCCGAATAGGACGTAACACGCTTTCTGGATTTCACTCCTGGTTACTATCCATCCCTGTTTAAAAATGCTTATGAATTGCTGACATTATCAAAGCAATCCTCACAGAGTGGACACTTATCAACTGTAGTTGTAAACATCAAAAAGTGACCAACGATATTATCCGCTTGTTCAATGCAATGCAGGCAAAATGAGCCTTAGTTTTAAGACTGACTAACTTTCCGGAAGTTGGACGCCTTAACTACTATGTCACTTTCATACTCATAGTTCATCCTAAAGAGAGCAAGAACAAAGATTCCTTGTTTTGAAATTTATTCTGCCATGGATATCACTAAATCTTTATTTCCGAATTTTTATTATTTCTATTCATAATTCGTATAAATATAGCTTGTTATACCATTGTCAAGCTTCCTTGAACCAGTTGAATCGAACTCATCCGTGATTCGTGTTTATGCGGCTGCAATTCTATCTGGTACAGTCCAAATAACTCGTCAACCTTTATTGTTCTTGATAACTGTACATCATTTGAATCGATGAGTTTGTATTTATCAAAACACAAAATTCCCTATGAATGCAACATCACTTTCCTAATATCAGATGTATGGAAGATAGACATTGTTAGGAACCTACCCTTGAAAATATTATTTTTCTGCTTATTGTCAAAAGTTTGTGATAAACCTGATAATTAAGTGCGAACATGAGAGACTTAGTGATCTTGACCAACTCTGGACTCAGTCCGAACAATCAGAAAACTGTAATTATGAAAATATGATTTACAGTGCTAGGATTAGCATGGCTCAATATCGAGCACATTGGCGTCGTTGTATACATACTTTGTCCTCCCTTAAACTATGAGATTAAAATCGCTTCATATTTTTCTTTCTATGAACTAATTCTTTCCTCGCGTACTATGTTATTATACGCACTCAGTCTTTTACATATTACCACCACTGAATTAACTACTTCTATGAGTCCGGTGTTCATCTTGCTGTGCTGATTAGGTATGGCAACTTGAAACGATGCACATATGTGCCTGGTCCTACGTTGTAGCTGACTGACTGATTAGCATTTACGCTTTACCATTTCTGCACGTGTATCTCAATCGTGTAATTAGACGCTGTGTTACTTTGAATATCTATCTTTATATCCATTGGATTGTCATATCACATACGTAATCCGACTTAGAATAAATAACGAACAGTTTTGAATATATCTTTAGACAGCCAGTCATAATCAATGTAGAATCCAAGAACGTATATACGTTTATCTAAGTTCTCACATATTAACGTTTAATTGCAAAGGAATTAAAATAATATAGCAGCTACCATTCTAAGAAAGATTAAACAATCCGGATATTATTCGAAAATACAGGTGCACAATCTTTACTTTATAGCGCACGATGAAAAAAGGAATGAATCTGTGCCACAGTCAGTCAGTCAATCAGTCACAACGTAGAACTTCGTACGTACGTACATCAGTTCGAGTTGCCACACCACATTAGCACAGAGATGCAGTTGTCAATTCAAATCCCGTAGTGCTAAAGTTAGTCAAAGTACAAGCAGTAATCGGAAACATTAGGCTTTGAAGATGTTATTCAAGAAGTATAATACAGTGAGATAAATTTGGAAAGAGAAAGAAAGTAACATGAAGAATTCAGAAGATTAGAATTTGGGAGAACATAAAGAGTGGATGCACCTGTGCCATTGCAAACGATTTTGAGCCATGTCATTTAGGGTCTCTAGCCATCGGTTGCTAAAATCTCGCGGTCCCTAATCAGGTAGTCTACACCCACCAATATGAGACTGTTCCACTTTGACTCATTATAACACATGTCACCACTCAACGTTTAACTTGATAATGTAATTACTGTAAAGGATTGAATTTTATCAAAAGAGAGTTACATAAATAAGTGATAATAACCTAACTCAGTTTTATTATTCTTTTATTCTTTAACTATCTGATTTCTTCATTCCAGCTATTTATACAATAAAGATAATCGGGATAGTGAATTTACTCAACAATTTGTACGTTTATGTCAATTATTACCTCAAATGACAAATGTCGAACCAACATCATCATCGTCGTCGTCGTTGTCGTCGTCTATGCAAGCAATCGTTAATAAGACTGATATTCTAAATTTACTATGATTTCTTAAACAAACTAATAAACAATGGTTACAACAAACGAAATCCATCGAATTGAATACAAATTTACATGTTGGTCTACATGATTCATTAGTTCATTTAATTCATAATAATGATGATAATAATGATTATGCCGACATAACTAGTGCAACAACATTTAATGAAGCTATTTTCAAAGCATCTATTGAATGGCACAATAGTGATACACTACCTAAGCATCGTCAACTTTATTGGATTGAATTATTTGAAAGAGTATGAGGAAGGCAGTAAAGGAGAATCAATTTAATGGAGAAAATAAAGTTTAACTAAAATCATACATCTAAAGATACTACTTATTTACTTATTATCAAATGGACATACTATGATATTTACAAACATGTAAATAACATTTAATGCTGTATTCTATTTATCATAGTTCTTGTTTCTATAAAAAGATTATGAAAAGATTCATTTCACTAGCTAAGCGTACAATTACAATTGTGTTCAAACAATGAAGGCACAAGTAATTTATTACACTGAACTAAGTATTTTTCACTGGTAATAAACAAGTCACTTGGTGATGGAAAAGATCTCCAGTATTAATGGATGTTTCACATATATAAATGTGATACGATGAAATTATCTTATGAATAAAAGAAAACTGGTTTGTAGAATTCTAAATGTAGCAGAATATTTTAGGGACTATCTGTGCTTTGTGTAGTAACCAAGGTCATAATATATATCTAGTTTTCAAGTAATGATCGATCAAGTTGAAATTTAGCCATTTGTCTTTACTGACTTATGTTGTGTGTACTGTGTTTTTGCGTATCGATTGCTTAGAGTTATCCGGCAAGTGTTGATTTGTAGGGCTGGCCTTTTTCTCATTGTTTGGATTGGTCAGCAAGACGTATGTGTAATTTTAAGGGAACTGATGTCGACTAGAAGCTTAAAAATAAGGATAATATGTGTAAGGAATCAGAAGCGCTTTTGATCAAAGTTGAGAAGGAATGATAAAAAGTAAGTCTCACGATCCTTCATATACTGACCATATGAATATTCTACTAACGAAAACTGGCGAGTGAATAGCGACAGGTTCATAAAGTGGAAAGGTAGTGTTATAATTAAGCTTGTAGAGGCAAATTTCCTCTATATCTGACTCCAATTGCTAGTATCCCGTTAACTGAATATTTAGTGAAGGTAAATCTCCTAGTAGAATTATGGATTTACTCGAGATTATTCTAAAGCTTGAACACCAGTTATCGAGATAATTTATTGTTAAAGATTGGTAAAATCCGCAAGCGCACAGGAAGCAAGCACACAGGGTGAACAAGAGTGTATATGTGTTACAATTCCGTATATACTTACGAGTGTTAATCAAGTATGGATAAATTATTGATTGTCTGTGTATTTCAATCAATGGGAGAATGAATTAAAAATTGATATGTGCTCAATCATACTCACACAGAAAATTACTTAGTGGATTACCGTGAGAAGGTAAATAATACAGCAGTTGAATGGGCTTAATACAAGCTGAACACTGAGATAATTAGTAATCGGTCAAGAGATGGCTTTCATTTCCAAGGGATTAAAAATTCACCACTGATAGATTTAAGTTCCGAAGGGATATTTATATCTAAGTGAGTACATACTCGGCGAGACTCTAATTTATGGAAGACCTCTGAACCAATCTGAAGTGACTTTGGGAAATATTTTCCAATCAGCAAACAGTTAGTATAGAGTAAAAATATGTTATACAAAATCAAGGAAATAAAGTGGATACATTTCAAAACTTATCAAGGTTGGAAAGTGGTTCTAAAATCGTAATGCATGCAGTAGAGGAAATCGTCCATATGGCTACAGAACAGTCGGCCTCTTGAGCCATGATAAAGTCTCGAAAACTCTTTCAGCCTCAACCACATATTGTTTATGTGCACCTCGGTTGTTGAGTACACAAAATGCTACTTGTGGATAACGACACGATGAACATAACCAAGCCTATGTAGGAGTCTGTAACGCGCGCTTTTCGAACGGGAAGTTTAGTCCTAACGTGATTTGCATATATCAAACTTTTGCTGTGTTCTTACGCATCAAAAGTACCATTTCAGTTCTAAAGAATCTATCCTGAGCTATACGTTCGGTAGATTACTTTTTTTTTGAGTTTCACTATATTTAATAGTTACCTGTGGTTTTGCCTCAGCTTACTATTCGGTTTTTTTTGTTTTTCACGTATAGACTAGTTTCAGTTTATATCACTCGTTTTGTCCATTTTTGTCCGTTTTCAGTGTGCATTTTAGTGTTTTTTTAAAAAGGTCTTAAGCTTTTGCAAGCATCTATAACATAGTTTGCTTCAACACCGTCATGAGAAACTCATGCAAACGTCCGGGATGCCGTTTTGCTGTCACAACTGGCATGCAGTGCGACAACTGCAAAGGTTGGTTCCACGAAGCATGCACAAATCTGACAGCAACTGCTTACAACAGACTCAGCAAGTCAGACCAAAAGTGGGTATGTGTCACGTGCAACACGGACGCAGTAGTCTTGCTGAGTAACATCATTGTCCTACTGACAGGTCTTCGGAATAAGCTGTCAGTTAACTTGGAACACGACAGTAAAAAAACCGATATACAAACAAGAGCGCGCAACGGACTCAAAAATAGGGATGTCGATAGGTATACCATCGATGGAGCATCCATCAACACTAATGACGACGTGTCGAGGCTCAGTACCATCATTACGTCGACGGTACTAGACTCCCTAGGCAAACTCGGGTCTCCCAGCTCAGGGTCCCTGAACACAACAGTGGTTCCCAAAAGCCCTGCAGGTGATTCGACCCACGTTAAGAGAGCCCAAAAGAACCAGGCATCACCGCCTAAGCCGAGCAACCCAAGTGTTGCTGCACGGAAAATAACTGGTGATTTAATCGCACAGTCTACCCCCAAGACTGTTCGTCCGGTCAATAAAGAGCCCAAGATTCATAAACGCACACTGACCTCCAAACAACAAGTTATTAAACGTGAACCCATCGTGAAACCTGGTAAATTAACAACAGTTCGTGACGATTCTCTCATTATCATGAACCTCGTCGACAATCCTGACCTTCCTCTCAGTCTGCAGGATAAAAACGACAGGATGCTGTGGGGTGAATTGAACAAGAAGCTCGAACTTCCTAGAATAGAGCCTTTGATGGTCACCCGGCTCACTCGAGGAAAGGATTCTAAGCATCTAAATCACCCGAGGCTTCTCCGAGTAACACTTAAGGATGCTACCGACGTAGAGGACGTCTTGCTAGCAAGTCACTTACTGAAATCAGATGGTAACGTAAGAATATTGCCCGACATACCGTACTCTGAGCGCAATATCATACGAAACGTCCCTAAAGAATCTCGCGAGAAGTTCTTCCGCGGAAGAAACATAATTGTCCAAGGTATACCGGAAAATTCAGACCCTACTCAATCAAATTCTGACATCAGGGAATGGAAATTCATCAAACAGTCCTTGAGGCTCAAACACATACTGACTCAGCATGTGACGAGACTAGCCAAGAAGGACGGTGATCTTAGACCCCGTCTAATGAAGATAACCTTCCCATCTTCCCACATGGCGGCTGCAGTTCTGGAAGCATTTCGTGCTAATAGACGTCGATTGCCACCTGGAATCCACATGCACCCGGATAGGCCATACGAAGTCAGGACCAAGAACAAAGGCAAGTTGGAGCTGACCATTCCACTTGTGGACTGTCTAAACGATAAAAAAACGTGTAAAGGACAGGGCCTACCACCTCGGCAAACCTCATATAGGTGGGCTACCTGTCCATTCACATAAGGTTCATACAGAAAAACAGGACGAAGCTCACGCGTTCCAAATTGAAAGCATAAACTGCTTATATATGAACGCCGCGAGTTTACCAAACAAACTGGATGAACTACGTGAACTTAGCAACGCTAACAAGGCCCATCTGATAGGAATATCTGAAACCTGGATATCTTCTCAGTTCTCGGATCAAGAGTTAGCATTACCTGGGATGACTTTGTTCCGCAACGACAGAAAAATAGGAATTGGGGGCGGAGTAGCCATATACATAAGCTCTTGCTTGGAGGTGCACCAGGCTCACAACCTCGAGTTTAACAATCTTGAGGAATCCATATGGTGCTCTGTAAGGTTGTCTAGTACTTCCAGGTGTCTAGTCGGAGTCATTTACAGGAAGCCAACTGCCGACACCGAGTACGATAGTCGTATGCTGGAAGGACTATCCCGCTCTATCCGTCTCGGTTTCACACACATCCTGATTCTAGGGGACTTTAATCTCCCTAGAGTCAACTTCGCGGAACACACGTACACTGGAGGCGACAACTCAACTGAAGCTCGGTTCTTCAACCTCATCGATAACTTGGGCTTATATGAAAATGTGAGGTCGGCAACTCGTTGGAGAAACAGTCAGACACCATCGCGCTTAGACTGTGTATTCACTAACGAAGAATTCCTAGTCGACAACCTCTCAATCCTGGCTCCTCTGGGAAAAAGCGATCATGCCGTCATAGCCTTCAGTTTTGTCATCAAAACTAAGCTAAGGTATCCCAACAATAATTTGCGTTGGAATTTTAAACGGCTGAATGTGCCAGCTCTACATGACCATCTACAACAGGTGGTTTGGGATGTTCACCCTCAAATCGATGTGGATGGTCATTGGGACTTCTTACTGCACACGCTCTTATGTGCTACAGACCATTCAGTTCCTCAAACGGTTCCCAAAAGTTTCAAGCCACCTACAGTAATCAAGAACCGTACCCTTCGCCTCCTAAGCCGCAAACGGCACTGTTGGGCGGAATACAAACGAACTAATAACGATGGAGCGTATAGGCAATACAAACATATCAGGAACACATGCACGAAGGCTATAAGAGAAGACAGGCTTCAGTACCAAACAAAGCTTATGGACAAATTCGCCTCTAACCCTAGAAGCCCATTCCGTTATGCAGCCTCTCTTCGTCAAGCCAAAACAGGAGTTTCTCAACTGCTAGGTCTTGACGGCCCGACCAACAACGATGGCGACGCCGCTAACCTTCTGGCGGCCCATTACTCTCAAACATTTCAACCGGCTGACATCAACTTTATTGACGACAGTTTCATCTGCAATTCCACAGGACTTTCTGAAGTGGACCTAAGCGCTGACTTGGTGTTCCGGAAACTGCAGCACTTAAGACTTGACACTTCTCCTGGCCCGGATATGGTTCATCCTGCCATACTAAGGGAGGCAGCCTCAATCCTGGCAACGCCGCTTAGCGTGATGTTTTCACACTCGCTTAGCCGAGGCAAATTACCGGAAAACTGGAAGTTGGCTCACATCACACCAATTTTCAAAGGTGGTCGACGCAATGAACCTTCAAGTTATCGGCCGGTAGCTCTTCTGTCGTTACCTTCAAAATTCATGGAGTCCCTGATATGCGACGGTTTAAATGACTATCTACTGTCCTTAAATTTCTTCTCACCCCAACAGCATGGTTTCAGGAAGGGTTACTCTTGTATAACCAACCTGCTGACTGCGGTGGACAGATGGACAAGCATCCTCGATCGCAAGGGAAAGGTTGATGTCATTTACCTTGATTTCTCAAAAGCTTTTGATAAGGTTAACCACTTGTGTCTTATCAACAAGCTCAAACGACTAGGTATCAAACCACCTCTAATCGACTGGCTTACTTCATACCTAAAAAATCGACACTTTAAGGTTAGGGTTAATTTCACTTTATCTCAAGCTATGGAATGTCCTAGTGGGGTCCCCCAGGGCTCAGTACTAAGGCCTCTTCTCTTCTTGATCTACATAAATGATCTTCCTCAACAGGTAACGTCAGACTTATTACTTTTGCCGACGACGTGAAACTTTGGAGAGAGATACGCAACCAAGACGATACACAGGCACTTCAGGAGGATCTGACGCGACTTCAAAGTTGGGCAGACGATAACGGACTTACCTTTAACACTTCAAAGTGTAAAGTAGTCCATCTGCGACATGTCGCAAACTACAGTTACAACTTAGGAAACTCCTCTCTAGTAGTATCCCAAGTCGAAAAAGATTTAGGAGTCCTGGTGCCCCATGACTTAAAGTCTTACGCTAACTGTGACAAAAATGCCTTCCGAGCAAACCTTGCACTGGTAACGTTGAGGCGCACTTTTGGCCAGTTTGACGGAAGAACTTTCCACACAATCTTCAATAGTTTCATCCGTCCCCATTTAGAGTACGGAAACATAGTACTACCCCCCCCCTCACTCCAAAAGGACAAGGTCACTTTGGAGCGTATCCAACGGCGAGCCACGAAATCAGTTCGAGGACTCAAATCTAAGCCTTACGAAGAACGCCTCCGTTCACTAGACCTTTACCCACTAGAATACAGGCGTCTTAGAGGTGATTTATTAATGGCTTATAGTATTCTTAACACTTCTGGACATCCTCTTAAACACCTACTTAAGCTTAGTTCGAATAATAACCTAAGGGGTAACACCCAGAAACTGGAAACACAACATAGCAAGACGGAATGTAGACACAACTTCTACTCCTTAAGAGTTGTCAAAAGCTGGAACTCGCTGCCGGCCGAGCTAGTCCAAGCGACTTCTCAGGAGTCCTTCAAGAGGCAACTTGACCTATTCTTAAGGACCAAGGACAGCATCACACTATGATTTACCAATTTCTTTTCCTCTTTTATTGTTAACATACCTAGGTTCCTGCCTGGAGGATTTGGTGATCCCCTGCTACTAGACACGGAAGCCTGTTAACCGAAAGCTTCTTCTATTCCGTCCACAACCATTTGAACCATTTGAACCACTCTCCAAACATCCGGATATATTGTAGTACCTGGCTGCAGACAGTGTTACTGGTGCTTTTATTATCCAGTTCGCAATATTTGTCGTAATTCGCCGTAGTGAGGAATTATATATGGGGTTTTCATCACTAACTGACATCAGCTATAATGCCAGAAATTCATTTAGCCAAATGGAAGACAGGCTTTCGCGTTAACATCCTAGATCTATTATCTTATACCTGATTGATTCGTCCACAAATTATAGTCCCGCCGTTTTATTTGTTATAGCCGCTCAATTATCATGTTTTGTACAAAATTCCCTGTGAACCGACCGTACGTTAGCACAAAGCACTAAAGTTTGCGCCGTCACCTTGAAATCTCTAACAGGCATCTGATTGGCTCGTCTGTGAATTAGAGTCTCGCCACATACATATTTACTCAAATAAACTTAGTTTCCTACCTTCCGTCCTTCCTCCTAAGTAGTCGAGATCATATACAAAAGTGTGTCAGCATCAAACGGTGTGACAGTAGGCTTCACAACATGCACTAACTGCTTAAAAAGATATATGATACGAATAGGCTAAACAAACGGGTTTTCTAAGCTGTCCAGTCGCTGATCATTTTGGATGTAATGGTATCATTTCAAGAGAAACTGTGAGAAAATGACTTCAAATGTTGTTATACGTTGCTGAAACTAAATTTATTCATTCGATAAGATACTGTACAGTTGTCGATATTACTTTGGTCCGGTTACCTCAGTTTTTAATACGCATGCTTTCAGTTATATTAACCTCTTTCCCCGTGTTTCATTATTATCTGACCTCCATTTATCCAAACAGTCTATTTTCATTGTAGTTCATATTCCTCAATATAAACCTGTTCCCATGACATTCTGTTTTTTTCTTTAAAATTCATATAACTAATCTGTCAATACTCAACCATATAAACTACTTCATGTTCTCTGATATAAACTATATACAAGTAACCGCTAAGCTACTAGTATTTGACCACAGATGCCTTAGACATATTGCTCACATCTGCTGGGATCACCGGGTAAGTATCTTTCTTTCTACGAACAAATTCTTTCTTCCCGTACTATGTCATTATACGCACTCTTCCTCTTATATATTACCACTATTAACATAACCACTACTATGAATCCAGTGTTCATCTTGCTGTGCTAATGTGATATGGCAACCTGGAACGATGCATATATGTGTATGGTCCTACGTTGTAGCTCACTGACTGACTAAACCCCTAATATATTTTGAAAACTATCGTTTCTAGGTTATAAGCAAAATTATTCTCAGCGAATGAAATCAAAATAATTTCAATGTTTCATCCAGAAAACGTATCTGAACTTCTTCAGTGTAATACAATCAAAAATTATCACAGAAAATTGTTTTCTCTATAATCGCAGCCTAATTTCTGGCAAACCATTCGTTCAAATATCAACGGATATTTGCATAAATTGTCTAGATCCTTAATACAACTGGATACGTCTATCTCCATTCAATAGCCAATTGATCTTCCTATTTCTTTTTATCTGACATATTTAAATCAACAAAACGAATAATTTCTGTTCTATGATTTATTTATAATTCGCAACCCGTAAATAATAATTACAAAATGTTCAAGTTTTACAAGTAGAGACCCGTTCTTAAACGGAGCCACAAGAAACGTGAGAACAAGTAAAAACTGATAATTATAATTTATTATTATTATAGTAAAGAGATAAGATCTGTACAAACGAAATCAAATCATTGTGTATTTCTGAAGAAAGATATGAGGATGATTATGAAGAGGATTTAGATGGTGATGTTGATTAAGAAGATGATGATTTAGATGATGATGATGTTTTAGATCATGGTGATGATGATTTAAATGGTGATGATGATGATGTTTTAGATGATTATGATGATATAGATGATGGTGATGATGATTTAGATGGTGACGATGATGATGCTGATGAATATGATGATGACGATGATGATGATGATGTTGATGACGAAGATGATGATGGTGATGATGATCATGATGATGATGATGATGATTTAGATGGTGATGATGATTTAGATGGTGATGATGATGATGACGATGATGATGATGATGATGATGATGATGATGATGATGATGATGATGATGATGATGATGATGATGATGATGATGATGATGATGATGATGATGATGATGATGATGATGATGATGATGATGATGATGATGATGATGATGATGATGATGATGATGATGATGATGATGATGATGATGATGATGATGATGATGATGATGATGATGATGATGATGATGATGATGATGATGATGATGATGATGATGATGATGATGATGATGATGATGATTTAGATGGTGATGATGATGATTATGATGATGACGAAGATGATGATGGTGATGATGACTTAGATGATGGTGATGATAATGATGATGATCATAATGATGATTATGATGATGATGATGATGATGATGATGGTGATGATGATGATGACGATGATGATGATCATGATGATGATTTAGATGGTGATGATGATGATTATGATGATGACGATGGTGATGATGATTTAGATGGTGATGATGATGATGATGATGATTTAGATGTTTGAGATGATGATGATGATCCATGCTACCACACTTAAGTAAGGAAATTCATTTATAAGATGAGAGAGAGAATGAAATGGAAATAATATCAACTAAGACATACAGCTGATCATGGAAAAATATACTTACCGTGAAACAAATTTATACATTCGTCTACGGATGATAACAAGTGTAGCTACACATTTGTAGATGGAGATTATACTTGAAAAGGTCAACTATACAAGTAAATTGATGCGTTTACATTTACACAGGATGATGAAATACATTGAAGCCGAAGATAACTATTTCTCAGTGAGCCTTAGAAGATATGCATCTCAACTCTAAAGCTTTTCAGTAACTGATCTTTAGAAACAAATCACGGTCTGAATTAAAACCTTTCCCATTACTTACTCGATAGCCACCAGTCCCCGAAACGTTGAAACCATGAGCTTCGTTGACATATGATTCATTTGACTGTTTGTTAGTTTTGGCAGCTTGGAATTCTCTTAGCTATTAAAAAAGATGTATAGGAAAGAATGTGATGTATGGCGAAAAATCACTTCATAATATTAGTATATGTGTAGTTCATCTACCACGTAAAACTGAGAAGATGATGTCAAGTTGAAATTGTAATTGTTCGAGGTTCACAATTAAAAACTATGTCTCGGAAAGCAGATGTATCATGCATGTGTGAGCAGTGGAAGCTTGATAATAGTTCTCAAGAAATCTAAACACGATGATGTATCAATTCCACGAAACCCTCATTGGCATATTTACGTTATACAAATCTTATATCTGATATGAAATAAACCGAAAATACCCGTCACGTTCAATTAGCAGAATTTATGCTTTCCGCCCACGTTAACTTTGAAATTTAATACAATGTCATATATTAGAGTGAGAAAAGTCTGTGTCTAAACCACTTTTATTTTAAGCAAGAAAACAAAACACAGTATGGCTTTGTTAGTACTATAAATAGAAAGCACTGTTCAGAGAAACGTGAGTTTCCGCTATGCACGACATGAGACCACCAGAAACAACGAATTACAAAGCTAGTTTAATTCCATTTAAATGATAGTAAGGCTTAGTGACACAACTGCAATTTATTCCGACGTTTTGAACAGGCGTGTCGAAAGATGAGAGTTATAGACCTAACTTCTGGCAGCAGGTTTTTGAAACTACCACATAGAACGTGAAGTGCACTGTATAACAGTGGATCATATTGTAGAACGTCCTTCGTAATTGGGAAATGTGTAAAGCTGTTAGTGTTTGACCATAGACCGACGTATCTCACGTAAAGAAAAATGACTGAGTATATAACGATCTTAAAAGCAAATTATTATATTGAGCTGAAAAACCGATAAACAGGGTCGCAAATATCTAACAATTGGAAAATGACAGATAGAACAAACCGTCCTCTCCAAAATCGGCAACTTTATGCATTATCTGATTTCAGCCACCACCTTATTACAATGTAATGTTGACTGACACAGATGATCACAAAAAAAACACAGGATAAGTATTTTAGCGGATTTATGATGACACTATACACTTTTTGATATTCCTTCGACGACTTGGTTACAAACACATTAGCGATCTATACCCGAACAATAAACACAAATACCCAGTATCGAAAGTGCCTGGACCCCCACATACCACAGGAAAACTGCTCCTTAAGTTTGAACAGATGATCTCACGAATTTTTCTCAGACCGAACACGTACTCCAATTAAATATTTGCGTAGAGATTTCGAAATGTCAAAACCAACTAACAAAATAAAGGTATTCTGCAATAGTATGGTCATATGTCAGTAAACACACCTTGTTCTTAGCAGCCGCTATTTTCTCTGCTCTACTTAGTTCCGACATCTTACTTCTGCCAGGGTGACGTGTTAAATGAGCTTGGCTACCTTCCATGACCTTGGCTGCTAGGCTACTTTCAAGATGTTTTTACAGCATATAAACACCATAAAAGAGCTACACTCAAACTGAGGTTGTACAACAGATTATGAGCTTATACATCTTACAAAATTACACAAAAAATAACAAGAAGACATCTTCTTTGTAACGATTAACAGATAGAGATGAGAACATTTTATTTATTATTTGTATATAGATGACATTAAGTGACTCTTAAAAGAGAGTGTCTTTGTACACATTCAAGGTTGCATTTTAGTTTCAACTCGAGTATACCGAAGTTCGCAAACTTGAACTGTGTTTTTGTATGCATTGTTTGGTTGAAGTCATCATGTACTTACTCAACTGCTACATCCCAGTGGTCGACCTGAACAAATGGTGATCAGTGAATGCAGAACGTGTGCATTCCCAAATACGCTCTGCTTGATTACAAAAGGGTTGACTGTTACGATCAATGAATCCGAGTACAGGAATGACTTTTGGGTAATCCGTCTCTCCAAAAGTTTATGAATATTTATGCTTCGAACTGTCCTCTTGAAGACGCCGCAGCCATTTCTAGTTTGATGACACTTCGACCAGTAACACCTTCCATAAATGAATCGTGCTCACCCAGTGATACCAAAAGTCAGAAGCAAGGAGATTCGAAAATATATTTGATAGGCTATCAATATATCGAGAAACGACTGATCTAAACTGACTAGCGATTGCAAAAGTTCCTACTCGTGATCTGGTGCAGATGCATGACCGAGTGCCTTCAGCTAATTGAGCTCAATAAATCTAATGTATTCAGCACACAGTGCCGAATACCTACAGAGCTATTGTGTTTGGAGATTTATTTACCGATACATTAATTGCACAGCGATTACTGTTGTCTAATAAAGATCGGAAAGTACAGCAGGTTCATGTCGCTTACCTTGCGTTCAATCATTAACAAATTTGACGAAACGAGTAATGAATGTTTTAAGATCGACATGACGAGAACACATTACGAAGGTATTGTCGAAACAGTGATGATAACTCTTTTCATCCTGTTCGAATCAAGTAAAATTACGAATGAAGATGGCACGTTAGTCGCTTGAATGTGAGTAATTTACATCAAATTTCAATGAACTTAACAGACACTAATTTATATTTTTTTCAAAAAACATATATATGCTGAATTTTGCTTTACTGCACTGCAGCTACCAGGTGATGATGGATAAGACAATGGATGAAGTAAATCAATTAGAACATTACTTTTCACTTTCATCACAAGTGTATTACAGTGACAGAATAATCAAATAAAATTCATAACCTTTTGAAAACTGAATTCTTCGTCGTTTTTGAGACATGTAGATCACTAACGTATATGATCTATATCGAATGATTGAGGGCTCACTCGAGTTCAACGGGAATGGTGCGACGGAGCAACTTGCATCGAAGTCACTCCTCACAGTCAGCACCTAACGTGAATTACATCCTCGACATATCAACGTACTGCTGTGACCGTTTCGTGCCTTAAGGTAACCCTCGTGCTATCGATAGAAGAAACCAGACAAATAGTGAATAGGTCTTTATTTCGATCTTCGCGCAGTCACAGTAGAGCGTGGAGTTATGTATTCAGACAAACAAAGCCTCTCAACATTCAATATAAGATAATAGGGAATATAACACCTATACAAAATAAGGAAGTGAATAAATACTTGAACTATATTGTCCAGGCATATTCTTGGTTGTTTGAGGTCAACTCCTAACCAACCAACCTAGGCTGTTACATTAGCTTCCCCCTAGAATCGACTTCCGTAGGAACGTCGGTTCGATTAACGTATCTATCAAAAACACCTTAGTTCTGTTTTTCCAGCCCAAGCGAAAATTATCAACTCGCTCACTGTTTGACTTCATCAATGACGACTAATTCCGTCAGCAATCAACGATAGTCCGTCGATGTCTCTTCATTTGATATCCTGTCTTCTTATTTATAGCATGTGATTTCTTGTACAACTATTGCTAGCAGTTTACTACGTGCCCTCAAAAAAGTGTGAGAATGTGGGACAAGAATATCTGAGGAAAAACCGCGAGCGGGCTACCCAACACCATGTTGGTGAGGTACAATTTTTTCATGCTCAGACCGGCTATCAGGTGTTTACTCGCCTGCCTCTTGAGTCGCCCTCAAGTAACATGTAAAGAAGAATCTCCTTCAAAAGTAATGGTGAAAGTCAATCAACCTGAAGAACTGCTCCACTGCCTGATTAAAATAATAAGATACAAAGTGGAAATACATAAATATAATTGATAATTGTTCGGTTCCACGTAAGTGCTTGGCCTCCAGAACGGATTGGTATTCTGGAAGGAAATAAACATAGTGTATACATCTTGTGTACAAAAAACTCTTTTATAATGCATATATGTAAAAGTGTAAGTTTGCTAGAAGTTGGACCCATTGTCAAACCCTATCAAATGTATGACTTTGGGTCTATGAAAACCGCCTTTCATAACCAGGTACGTAACCAAGGGTACATAAGAGTACTCCACAAAATCGGAAAGAATATATGGTTAAGGAGGAAAAAAATTGCGTAGAGTGTGAAGATCAAGTACAGTTGTGTCAAATACTCTTTTGTGGTTTGATTTAGGTATTCATGATATATTGAAGCAATATTTCATCAATTCATCCAAGCAACGAATTGGTCTGCACCTTAGAAGTGTGTAAGTCCTATTATTCATTAGTATTATGAATGATTAATCGGTGTAAGGAAATATTGAAGTCATTTCCTCGTGACCTGATGTGGTTTAATGGCTACCCACCTTCAATACGATGTTTGTGTGACCGAGAAATTATAAAGTTTGAACACCGAAAACACACTTACTTTGATGTATGTTCATTCCATGTTCATCCAGTCTTTTCAACACTGCTCGTACATGCTGCTCGTGTGATTGCAAATCGAGGCTGGCAATTAACAAATCGTCTATCTACCCCTGCGCAAATGGCATATCTCGAAGTAGGTTATCTATGAATCTTTGAAATGTCTGTGCCGCATTTCTCAGGCATAATGGCATGCGTACAAACTCGAATAAGCCAAAAGGTGTAGTAATAGCTGTCTTGGGGATATCTTCATCGGCCACCGGGATATTGT